CCCCAAAACCCCAAAACCCCAAAACCCCAAAACCCCGATAATAATAATATTATTGAAATTATTATTTATAAAAGGATTTCATCAGACCAAAATGTATTGTTACAGACACGCGGCAGACTTGTTCACCATTGGCTCCAGTCTCTTCTCAAGAGGCGGTCTTAAGACTTCTGTTCTGAGGTCTCAAGGATGAATGAACTTCTTGTTCGTCAGGATTTATAAGACAGCTAACCTGGATTACTTGGAAAACAAGCATCTTGATGACAATAGAAACTTTGGATTATTTTCAAAGACGATCGAGTATTCGTTCGCTAAAAATACTCTCTTCATCCTTTATATGATTAAGAAAGAAGCCTTTGCAAGGTTCATCAGGCAGATGTTTACTTCAACCACTCAGCTACAGAAAATTTCGAAGTACTTAGAGTGGAAGAGGCTCTCTGAAGCGGGATTATGCAGCGCAAGCCTTCTCGTTCATGACCACAGCCACCAAAACTACTTCTGAGGGAGGTTCTTGGAACAACCAGTTTTACATAAATACGACATCTTGAGGAAGAAGTGTGATCTTTCTGAAATAACTGAGACCCATACTTCCTCGTGTGAGCCGTTTGACGTAAGGAAGTACGTCCAGGAGACAGAAACTGAAAGCGAGGTGGCTGACTGATCTAGGCTCTCTCATACAGTGAGCGTTCCAAATATCGAAAAATTAGAGATGGCTTTGAACACCACTAAAGACTCCAAAAGCATGTATGATGAAGACCTTAATGACAACCAGAGCAAGTCAGAGTGGACTATTAATGGCAAGATTATTGAACTGATGAACTCTAGTTTCTTCTCCCTGAGCTCTAATTTCTCAGAATTTGCTTAATTTTCGTAAGATTCGTCCATTAATTTTTTGGGTTTGAACAGGTTAATTTTGAAGAAATATTTAAATAGATTAGTTGCTTCTCCATGCCAGAAAAAAGAATTATGTAACTTTTATGAAGGTTCTAGAAAGCTTAAGATAATTTATTATGTATCTTCTCGATTGGATCAAAAGTCTTAACAATTTGCATCATTTTCTTAGGCAACTCATTCTTTCTTGTAAAAGACTCTCGCAAAACCCTTCGTTGTCAATAGTTTTAAATTTTGATCCCAAATAAATGTAGAAGTAACTGAAGCCGCCTTAATTAACAGGATTCCCTTTCACAAAAGCCAAGGCTGTGATTGGCTTAATTCTAGATTCGTTTCTCATCACAAATGGTCGTGATTCTTGCCATTTTCCATCTCAAAAGGGGTTTTGGGGTTTTGGGGTTTTGGGG